AGTCTGCACAGTCCAAGTTCATAGTCTCTTTCCCCAGATGCCCTTGGATCTCCCAGTGCAGCCACCACCTGGGAAGCTTGTCCCAGCTGACCTATGTGCATCCCAGCCCTTCTCCTGGGGCCCCTTCTCTAGACTTCTTCCTCCCTCTGCCACACCCCCTTGAGCTCAGGGAGGCCAGTGGGCTGCCTGCCATGTGGCAGTCAGGAAACAGGACCATGCAAACAGGACCAGCCCAGTGAGGACAGAGTTGCAATTCTGGTCACACAACAGCTGTCTCTGGGAAGACCCCAGTGTGGTTGGACATAGACCAGGTAGCTGAGTAAGTGGCAGGTCAGGTTCATGCTGGGCCACCTACTCTGTGCTGGGAGCAGCACAGGGACATAGCCCTGCAGCTGGGGATGCCACACAGAAGGATGTGAGGGTGCCACTTGTACCTGCAGGCAGCACACCTGGGAGGCAGAAGACTCTGTTACCTAGAAAACAAATTGAGGGCTCTGCCATCCTGGCAGCACTTGCAGGGGGCTGGGGGTCTCACACCATCACCTCTAGAGCCCACCCTTCACTCCCCTCTCAGGTCCAGCCTGAAATAAATACACGTTTCCTGTCCTCTGTCAGGAAAGGGAGGTCGAGCTCTACCCCGTCAGCTAGGACAAGGCTGCTTGTAAAGACAGTATCTTTTACAAGGCCCGGCTGGTGTTGGGCCTCCCCATCCTTGCGCCCTCTGAGCCTGAGCTGGGTTGTTGGCTCGCTTGGGTCTTCTCAGACTGGTCAGGAGGTGCAGAGGAGGGGCTCGGGGCAGGACCTGCCGCTCTGGTGGACTGACAGCATGGGTACCTTTAGGGGGATCAGAAGCTCTTCCCTCGCCATCCACAGCAGTACAGTGCACATGGCACATGTGGGGGATTACAGTGACGTCTACTCCAGCTGGTGTAGCAGGAAAGGGGAGCTGGGCGCAGTGGTGCTAGAGACTCAGGAAGCCGAGGCAGGAGGATCTGTTGAACCTAGGAGGTCAAGGCCAGCTTGGGCAACATAGCATGACAGTCTTAAAATAAGGGATTCATCACAGGGCAGGTACTACAGGCATTCCCCAAGTCACAAATATTTGACTGATCTATATCTCGCACTTATGAATGGAGGCTATTACAGGCAATAGGTAAAAGTACCTGTTCCAACTTACCTACAAATTCAACTTATAGAACCTGTCTCATTTGTAATCTGGGAACTGTAAATACCTTGTTAGAATCCTTGGAGAGGCTGAAGGAACAGCTGAAGTCAGGATCCCCAAGCCACCAAGGAGGCTGCTGCCTCACCTCTTCTGGGACGGGGACTCTGGTTTCTGACTGGGGGCTGCAGCTCCCATCATGCCGTGGGGGGCTGGCTGCCCGCCCCAGGTCCATGTTGCCTTGCTATAGGCCACACCCACAAAATGGATACCCAGAAGCTAGTGACCAGACTGGAGGCCTCCAGCCCTTGCTCCAGTTGCCTCCTCCTACCAGAGCTGAATTGCATTTGGAATCATAGCTGCAAAGGTGTTAGCTTTCCTGCCTCTCACACGGTGGGGTGTCCCAGGAGGAGCTGGGATATTCAAACCTTAGTGTGCCGTGCAGGTGAGTGGGGGGTGTGAGCCCACAGAAGTGGCACTACAGGCTGAACTGGGAGAATCCTGATTGCGCGTGTCCTTGGACGTCAGCGCATAGAAGTCGCCTGGGAAACACCGTGGTGCCAACACCAGGGCCCCACCCACAGGGACCGTGACTCAGTGGGGCCAGAGCGTGGCCCAGACCTGCTGCTGTCTCCTGCTTTATGCTCTTGATGGAATTTTCAGTGTCCTTTAGGTACGCTCTGTTCTCTCTTTGATCTTCAAGTTAATCTAGGAAGCTACCCTATGAGGTAGGAGGAGGATGAGGCCTGGGGAAGTTGAGTGACTTCTCCTTGTGACCCAACCACCATGCCAGCCCTCGGGTGGGAAGCTACTCTCCACTGCTCACTGAGCCCGAAGGAAACCAAAGCAGGAAGGGAGTATGTGGGACGAGCTGGAAGCAGCTGGGATAGCCCTGCCCACAGCTCACTGGCCCAGGCCGAGCTTGTTACCTTACTGAGCCTCTCTTTCCCCATCTGTAAATCAGGGTGGTGGGATGTATTTGGAGACTTCTTCCAACAGAAATGCTGCATGCGTCTACATGTAAGATGGAACAAAACGGAGCTGGCAGGGAGGGGTTCAGGCTCACCCCATCCAACCCTAGCACCTCAGTGGAGCCCAGTTTGAAAGTGCAAATGATGATCAAGCAACAGGGTACCCTTGCTCAGGGCTCACAGGGCTTCAGGCCCCCAGTAAAGGCGGACAGCTTTTTAACATGGTCCTCGATTTTGTCCAAGACATGAGCAGAAGGGACTTGTCTCTGGAGCTTAGGGTGCCTGAGTAGGGGAGTGCTTGGGTATTGAGGAAACAGGACAGTTGTCAGGTAGGCCCAGCCGATCCTGTTCAACCAGAGGAGACATTTGTTGGAGATGAAATCGAGTCGCTCTTTTTTTTTTTTTGAGACAGAGTCTCAAGCTGTCACCCTAGGTAGAGTGCCGTGGCATCACAGCTCACAGCAACCTCAAACTCTTAGGTTTAAGTGTTTCTCTTGCCTCAGCCTCCCAAGTAGCTGGGACTACAGGTGCCTGCCACAATCCCCAGCCATTTTTTTTGTTGCAGTTGTCATTGTTGTTTTAGCTGGCCTGGGCCAGTTTTGAACCCACCAGCCTCCATGTATGTGGCCAGTGCCCTGCCCACTGAGCTACAACGCTCCCCAAGAGCTACGCTCTTAAAGCTAGAAAGGGAAACAAAGTGAGGACTACCACATGGTGGACCTCAGCAGTGAGAGCTTCCCCCACGCACCTGGGCTCTGTGTCCTGATACTGTGGGCCCACATGACTGTCACATCCGTGCTCCACGCAAGGCATGTCACCAGTAGATACCACAATGGGCACGTCCAGGGCCAATGCAGGGAGACCTTCCCAGTGGGACCAGAGAGACCACATATCTGAGGAAGACTCCAGTGGAGTCCTTTCCCAGCCAAGCGTTATAAAACTCCAGACAAGCTTGGTGGAATTGAACTAACACGGCCAGTTTGCCTTTGCTCACCAGGGAGGCAGAGAAGGTACGATAAGGTCAGTTTGAATTGGGATGTGCTTGCTGTCTGCTCTTTAACTGACACCAGAGGCTTCCATGTGTCTGCTGTAACTGTGTGTCCTGTAAATAAGAGGTGTTCAGGGAAAACCACTGAGTCTTGTTAGAACCATTCAGGAGATCTTTGATGTGTTTTGCTGGCAGTGGACCATCACTGGGAATGGACCTTCATGTCCGAATCTGTAGCGTTCTTTCTGAACTTTCATTGTTGCCCGTAGTCAGCCAGAAGACACCAGCCTTGGCAAGCATTCTCTTGAGGAGGAATGAAACCCAGCAAAAGACTGTTTAATTCAGAGGTACCAGTGCAGGCCACTGAGAGAAAGGGAGACCAAGATATTCAGAAGGGGCTCCAAGGAGCCAGACTTTAAGGATGGAAAGAACAGGAAATGAGGAGGAAGAAATTGAAGTTTCAAGGGATCGTTAATAAGAGCTACCATTATCTACGTACACGCAGGGAATGTTATTCAACCCTAAAAAGAAAGGAAATTCTGACCCATGCTACAACATGGATGAACCTTGAAGACATCATGATACATGAAATAAGCCTGTAATGAAAAGACAAAAACGTGCTTTCACGTAGGAGACAGAAAGTGGAGTGTTGGTTGCCAAGAGCTGGGGGAGGGAATGGGGAATTGTTTGATGGGAACAGAGTTTCAGTTTGGGAAGACAGATATTCTGTGGGTGGATGGTGGTGAATTTCCTTAATGATGCTAAACTGTACTCCTAAAAATGATTGAAATAGATTTTTAAATTTTCAGAGCTGGGCATGGTGTGTGCACCTGTAGTCCCAGCTGCCCAGGAGGCTGAGGCAGGAGGATCTCTTAAGCCCAGGAGCAATGATTGTGCCTGTGAGTGGCCACTGCACCCTAGACTGGGCAACATAGGAGACCACCCCAGCTCTAAAAATAAAGAATTGTTTTTAATTTATAAAAAGGTAAATTTTCTGTAAAGAGAAAATGCTTTTGAGAGGAAATATATTTTACCACAGTTTAAAAAATAAAAGGCTGGGCATGGTAGCTCATGCCTTTAATCCTAGCACTTGAGGAGGCTGAGGTGAGTGGATCACCTGAGCTTAGGAGTTCAAGACCAGCCTGAGCAAGAGAGAGAAAACCCCGTCTCTCCTAAAAATAGAAAAAATTAGCCAAGTGTCATGGTAGGTACCTGTAGTCCCAGCTACTTGGGAGGCTGAGGCAAGAGGATCACTTGAGCCCAAGAGTTTGAGGTTGCTGTGAGCTGATTCCATAGCACTCTACCCAGGTAACAGAGACTATCTCTAATAAATAATATTTTTAAAAGCCCAACTTTTTATTAAATCATAACCATGTACATTAATGCATTAGTGAGCACTCACCATGTGCTGTTCCCAGCACCACACAGAGCCCTTCACATAGTTCTCAGAGTGGCCTTGTTAAGTGGGTACTATTATTGTTTTTGTTTTACAAAAACAAAAGATAAGATTAGATAAGTCTCTCAAAGCCAGGTGAACTAGTGAATGGTCCATTGTGGATTGAACCCAGATTTGTGCAAGTCCAAATCCCACCCATGCCCTTAACCCTCCATGTGAACAACAGTCTGAGACACAGGAATTGGGACAGGGACACCCACACACACATCAGGCACCCACAGTTTTTGTAAACACCTCCCCATGCTGCTGATGGTTTTTCTCCGTGCCCCCAGGCAGCCACTGTTCCCTTCAGGATCCAGCAGGACTCTCTTTGTGCTTGAATCTGATTTTCCCATTGCTTGATGGTTTGGGGCTGTAACTGACACATAATGTTATCTATGACCCTTATTTTAAAGAGTGACGGGTGTGGCCTCTCTGTTGCAGACCACAGTGATTGACTATGTGAAGCCCTCGGATCTCAAGAAAGACATGAACGAGACCTTCAAGGAGAAGTTTCCCCACATTAAGTTAACACTCAGCAAAATCCGGAGGTACAGGAGTCACTACCCCCCTGAACTTTCCCTTCGAGCTCCTCTTACAGCACACGTTATATGTAGGACTTGCTGATGGTTCCCTCGTTTGTTCCAGTAACTGAAGCACTGTCGCTTCAGCACAGAGGGACTCCTTGATTGATGCTGGTGGACAGGTGTCACAGTGTGGTGGGAGGGCCAAGGGAAGCAGGATGGAAGGCCAAGCCCTGGACACCCCATTGACACAAATCTGGGGAGAGTGTCCTTAGTGAAAGAATCACTTCATGCCATCTGCAGCTCGCTGGTTCTCTAAGATTTCCATCCTGGAAAACTCAGAGGATAAACGTTCAGGTCTCTGCTTTCTCAAACGCAGGCCAAGGAGAGAAAAGGGCTGATATCCCAGGCTGTGAGGTAACTCTGTCCTTAGTTGTGCGCCCAGAGGTGTCAGTCAGCCAAACCCTGTCTTTACCATCACCAAAGCAGCCCAATCAAAGCCAGGCCTAGATTTCCCTATAGCTGAACAAACTGACTATGTGAAGATGTGCACCTGCCGGCCAAAGGGTCAGTGAAACTGTCAGACATGGAGTGCACATGTGTGTGTGGTGGTAGAAAAAATAAGCACCCACACTTTGTCTCTTTGCTTGGCAGCATTCCTAAGGACACTGCTTTAACTTGTGCTCGCAGCCTAGCACCTTTCTGCCCTGGGTAGTGAAGTGACAGTATTTGGCAGGGCTCAGGCCAAGTGCCTCATTTGTGTCTATGTCGTATGATCATCTCTCTGGAATGACTGTGATTTCCAGATGTTGTCTGTTATGTTGGACAACTTCACTCTGGGTCTTGAAGGAGACCTTGGGACATCTTCTGTGTTCAGTGGCGTCCTCCTGTGTCCAGTGTCATGGTCGTTTGAGTCCTGGCTGGTCACTCTCCCCACCTAGGCTGCTATCCTTGCCTATTGTTATCCTGGAAGCAGTGACACTGCTGGGTCTGGGGAGAGAATAAAAATAAAATGACACGGTTGGTCGGTACAACTTGACTAACAGAGAAGCATCCAGAGCCCCAGCTATATAATTTGCCCCCTCCCCCCGCACACACACAGTAACACTCACACATCTGAGAACGTAAGCCCAGCCCACCCTGGGAACGAGGAAGAGGAAATGCTTTTGAGAGAGAGTCGTCTTTTTCTTTAGGGTCCCCTGCAACTCTTAAGTTGTAACAAGACTCTCCCCTCCTGCTTGTCTCCCTCTAGTTTGAAACGAGAGATGCGGAAGCTGGCTCAGGAGGACTGTGGCCTTGAGGAGCCCACGGTGGCCATGGCCTTCGTCTACTTCGAGAAGCTTGCCCTCAAGGGGAAGCTCAACAAGCAGAACCGGAAGCTTTGTGCTGGGGCCTGCGTGCTGCTGGCAGCCAAAATTGGAAGCGACCTCAAAAAACATGAAGTCAAGCATCTGATTGATGTAAGTGGCTTGTGTCCTGATGACCCGGGGAACACACCATCCAGACACTCCGGTCCAGGGTCAGACTCTGACTGTTAACCGTGCCTAGAAGGATTCTAACGCTCAGAGGGCAGCGGAGATTGGGGCGGTAAAGCTGACCTTCCCACAGTGGACATCAGGCACCCATCTCAGGCTGGCTTAGAACAAAAGAACAACACACTCTGACAAGACCAAAGATCCCCAGCTTTGGGTCTGACCATGGAAATCCATTTTCAGACACCATGAGGGGTAAAACAGCTCTCACAGGCGTAGAAGCCCCTATAACCACAAGGGATCTTATGAGGAGTGTGCCCCCCAGAGCCTCCATTGTTAAATGTGTTGGTTCAATAAGCCTCTGGCTTCCTGCTGCCTCAGTGGGCTCCTCTTTAGGGAAAGGCGTGGGTTTGCAGGCTGGGATCTCTTTTACTTTAAAGGAGAGATCCACCAAAGCTAGGACACATCAGTCCCTTGGATAGATACATGAATGCCTATTTGAAAATTTACTATCTTTTTTTTTTTTTTGAGAGAGAGACCGTCTCATTTTGTCACCCTTGGAAGAGTGCGATGGTGTCACAGCTCACAACAACCTCAAACTCTTGGGCTTCAGCAGTTCTCTTGCCTTAGTCTCCTAAGTAGCTGGGACTACAGGCGCCCACCACAATGCCCAGCTATTTTTTGGTTGTAGTTGTCATTGTTGTTTGGCAGGCCCCGGCTATATTCGAATCCACCAGCTGCAGTATATGTGGCTGGCACCCGAGCCGCTGAGCTACAGGCGCTGAGCCTAAAATTAAGTATCTTAATAGAAAATTTAAGGTACATTAATGCAACAGGTCAGGAGACAATTATTGAAAAACTAGTTGGAGTTCCCAGGAGAAGGGATGTCTTAGCTGTTGCTGCCATAACAAAATACCATAGACTGGCCAGGCACAGTGGCTCACACCTATAAACCTAGCACTTTAGGAGACCAAGCCAGGAGGATTGCTTGACCCTAGGAGTTCAAGACTCAATACAGCAAACCCCATCTCTATAAAAAAATACCAAACTTAGCTAGACCTGGTGGCACATGCTTTGTAGTTCTAGATACTAGGGAGGCTGAAGTAGGAGCATCTCTTGAGCCCAAGAATCTGAAGTTACAGTGAGCTGTGATGACACCACTGCACTCTAGCTGGAGCAACACAGTGAGACCCTATCTCAAAAACAACCAAAAACTAAAAAATTACCATAGAGTTGGCAAGTTAAACAACCGAAATGTATTTCTCATAGGCTGAGAAGTCCAAAGTCAGGGTACTGGTCACTTCTGTTCCTGGCAAGGATGCTCTTACTGGCCTGAATATGTCTTCCTGATCTTGGCTTAGTTTTGGAGAGGGTGGGGCACAGAGCAAGACTCCCTGGTTTCTTTAACAAAGACACTAATTCCATGATGAGAACTACAGGCACAGGCCCTGACCTAAACCTGTCACTCCCAAGGCCCCACCTCCTAATACCATCACATTGAGGATTTTGCCAAGGACATAAGAACTCTGAGGGGACAGGAACATTCAGTCTCTAACAGGGCCATGCCATGCTGTGCTGTAGGAACCACATGGGAGGTACTGGGCTTGGTCAGGAGAGTGAAAGAAGCAGCTGTGCACCAGCCTTTGTTGTGGTTTCCACAGAGAGGAGCAGGAAAGGCAGAACCCAGGCTTAGGATTGGCTAGTTGGGATAATTTTAGTGGGCTCCAGGGCACAGGGGCTGCCCCTGATTGTCTGGTCCCTGCCCTGGGGTGATAAGGCAGGATAGAGACCCAGAGCTTGAGAGCCATAGGGGAAGTGGTGGGGTGTGAGCTCTGGATTGGTTGATTTGCATTTGAAAAGCACCCTGGAAGGGGTCTCTATAGAGGATTTGGCTAACTTGGGAGGAGCAGCCCTCTGAGGTCAGCAAAAACCCCAGATCATTTCTTTTTCTGAGATAGAGTCTCACTATGTCACCCTCAGTAGAGTGCTATCACAGCTCACAGCAACCTCAAACTTTTGGACTTAAATGATTCTCTTGCCTTGGTCTCCCAAGTAGCTGGGACTACAGGTGCCCCCCACTATGCCTGACTACTTTTGTTTTTATTGTAGTTGTCATTGTTTTTAGTAGACTTGGGCCGGCTTCAAACCCACCAGCCGTGGTGTATGTGGCTGGCACCCTAACCACTGAGCTACGGGAGCTGAGCCCATTTTATAATTTTCGTTAATATTTATAATCAAAATACAGAAAATAGACATGGTTAATATAATGCCCCGTATGTCTCACTGTCCAGCCATCCCCAGTGGCATAGACAGTCAAGAGGGGGCACTGCGGTGGGCATTCCCCAGCTGAAAGATTATTCATTCCATAGGTCAGTGCTTTACTAATCTTAAGAATCAGTACAGAGTCATCGAGCTTGTACAGTAAATCCATGAACATGGAGGTGGTCATAGGAGACTGTGTCTGAGCTAATTGATAGGCTTAGATATAGGTTTGTGGAACTAGTAAATCTTTAGATGTAATAGATATTAATGGAGGTGGTCATAGGAGACTGTGTCTGAGCTAATTGATAGGCTTAGATATAGGTTTGTGGAACTAGTAAATTTTTAAATATAACAGATATTAATAAAAATTGTAAATATTATGCACATTTGATCACAGTTGAGTAACATGCCACACCGCACAAGCTGGTGGTACTGATGCAGAATGTAACAGTCGTGGTTTGATGAACCATTTGCAGGAGTGATGAGCCTGAAGTAAGTCACGTCCCAGTTATAGCCAGAATGTAATCAACAGCTAACTTCATCGGTGAGGTTTCTGTCTTAAGCCAAAACAGAATGTGTTGCAGCCAAAATGAGGGTGCCACTGGGCATCAGTCCTGATTAGCCATGTGACAGTCTAAAAGCGGGTGACCTCCCCAGAACTCAGGTCCTTGTGTGTGGGAAGTGAATGAACCAAACTGCGCACCATCAGCTCACCTCCTGAGCACACGCGGGTCCCTGTTGTAGATGTTCCTCCTATTTTTAGCCCACCCACACTCTCAGCCTGATTGACAGTTTGAGCAGATGAAGTTTGAGTCCCAGTGTGGTTTGATTCTAAGAGCTGTACTTTACTGCCCACACGACCCTGGACATGTTCTTTGACCTGCTGGAGCCTGTTTTCTCATCTGTAAATATAGATAATATAGCATCACCCTTGTAAGGTTATGGATTTTGTTTTTTGAGACAGTCTCACTCCATTGCCCTTGGTAGGGTGCGGTGGTGGCATCACAGCTCACAGCAACCTCAAACTCCTTGGTTTAAGAGATCCTCCTGCTTATAGCTGCCTAAGTAGCTGAGACTACAGGCGCTCACCACAACACCCTAATCCTCTGTAACACCCAGCTAGTTTTTCTATATTTAGTAGACATAAGGTCTCACTCTTGTTCAGGCTGGTCTCTAACTCCTGAGATCAAGCAATCCTCCCACCTCAGCCTCCCAGAGTGCTGGGGTTATAGGCATGAGCCACTGTGCCTGGCTATTGAGAAGATCAAACGAAGTCACGTGACTACGTGAGGCTGCCGGCCCTGGGGAGGGATTTGATTAATTCCTCCCCCACCAGGACTGAGGGCAGGAAGTGCAGACTGCCGCCCGTGGGTGTCCCCAGAAGCACACACCAGCTGATGGACAGAGAAGTTGCACTTGGAGAAAGCCTAGGACTTTAATTTCAAACACTAACATGCACTGGGTTTTCTTTTTGTTGCAGAAACTGGAAGAGAAGTTCCGGCTGAACAGGCGAGAACTGATTGCCTTTGAATTCCCGGTGTTAGTGGCCTTGGAGTTTGCCCTGCATTTGCCAGAGCACGAGGTCATGCCCCACTACAGACGCCTGATGCAGAGCTCCTAGCACCAGCCCCGCGGTGGCCCAAGGACCGTTTCCTCCCAGCTTGGTGGAGCAACACGTACCACTGGAAATGCAAAAAATAGAACTCAAAATACCAAACTGTCCTTCTCAACATGTTTCTGTGGAGAAACAAGTCCTGGAATCTTCAGTGTGGCTAGCCAAGAGAAGCCTTGAGCTGTGTCCCGTGCAGAACAAGGGACGAGGAGATGGGGGCAAGCAGCAGGGGCCCTTCCCACTAGCGAGAACTCTTAGCCGCCCCACCCTGATCTTTCTCCCAGGCGCACACAGACCTTTCGAACGTGGTCCAGAGTCTTCTCTCCAGACCTGTTCCAGCTCAGAGTGCAACGGCTTGCACAGACATCGGGTGAGAAGCTACAGAAGTTGGGAAAAAGCTTTGCAGAGATGCCCTCATCGTGTCCAAGAGTTGTGCCAATCTATTTTTGTATCAGCCATTGGAAGTGCACTTTCCCTGGGGGCGTGTGGGTTTGCAAGATGCGGCAGCAGCCCTAGCCCACCCCCAAAGCCAAGCCCACCCCCGACAGAGCAGACTCAGCCTGGGGTCACCAGCCAGGCTGAGGTTTGGCAGTTCTTTCCAGATGCTCTCTGGATAAGAATCACTGTCTCCATGCCAGATCGTTGGACATTCTCTGCCCTTAGAAAATGGTACTGTTTCTGTCACCACCAAGGGGACAGACAAGATGAGTTCTCAGTGTTGGATGAGTCACGTGGAAAGGCATGGAGCGCGGCGCCCTGCCCCTTCCTGCCGCCGTGAGGCGTGTGTGTATTTAACCTTGGCACTTTCCCCACTGTGGAGATGGCGGGGCTGGCGCTCGGTGGCGGCGTCCCTGTGCTCTATGTTAGAGTGCATACTGAGCACGTTTCCTGTGCTGTGTGTATCTATATATAAAATGTTTTATAAAAATCCAGAATAGGAATAAGATGCATGATTGGTGTTTGGCGTTCGCCCACTGAGACAAACTAGGGTTTACACTCAGCTTGAGCTGAGGTGGCAGTGGCTCTCACCATTCCTGTGTACCCGAGGCTGTCAGTGCAGGATTTTAATTATGACTTACCCTGACTCACTGGGACGACTTGCAGTAAGCATGTCACCAGGCCATCTCAGAGCTGCGAGAGATAATAGCTGGATTCCCTTGACCAAAGAGAGCCCACAACCATATAAAAAGAAAACTAAACTCTTTTATGTGTACCTGTATGTGTAGACACACGTCCCCCCAGTCACCTTGGCCTTCCACTGCTGATCTGTCCACCACCCCAGATTGCACACAGAGGTCACACATTCGGAGCTTCTCATAGCAGCCAGAGAAGGGGAAATGGAGCCAGGTATAGACAGCTTCCCTTAGCTTAGAAGTTGAGGTCTCGATAGGCCTGTAGGGTGCAGAGATTCAAGCAGCAACTGGGGAGGCCCAAACAGAATACTTGACTTATTCAGAACCTTTGGTTTAACTGACTTCTTTTTAACTGTTTTATTTGTTCTAAATATTTTGCTAACAAATTTCCTTGACTGGAATCCGTTGTAAGATGATGATTTTTGGAGGGGGTCAGGGGCATGATTCATCTGGTCTCTTCAGCTGATCGAAAGTTAGATCAACTAATACTTGGGGTACCAACTATTAATAAAGCAAATTGGGAAGCACAGAATGTTCAAGAGTGACTGCCCTAAGTACACAACGCCCTAGCCCCTTCTCTTGTGGAGTTGGTCACCTTGCTTCCCTCTGGTGAGCACCTGGCTGTCCACCCACCCCACGCAGCTCCCTGGCCAGTCCTGCAGGGGGACAGTCCTGCGAAGCAGGGCTCTACTATCTAGAGATGGGCTAATAGCTCCCCCCCCACCCACTTTGAGTCTCCTGCCAAGCTCAGGGGGACATCAGGTGGATGGCACATGCCACCAGCCCAGACATGGGGTGGGAAACCTGAGTCCTTTCCTGTGTCTTAAAATCAGGCTAATTTTTTTGGATTTGGGGTGATATATTTGATCTTTAGCATTTATGAAATGGACTCAAGAAGTTATTGGTCTATTTAAAGACATTTTAATTCTACACTCCTACCTGGCCTGTGGGTTTGTCCAGTAGGGAGTTTTGTTGGTTTTCAATTTGGGCAGAGTGTCGGGCTGAGAGTGAAGGCATTTGATCAGATCTCCTTCTGCATGTCCATACACGAGCTTTCCAGAGGCAAAGGAAGATGAGAGGGAGACACGGTGAAGGATATGGGTCACTGCCGGAGCTGCCACTGAGCTGTGGGACCTTCCAGACACTTGTCAACCTTGGGGGTTGGTGAGGAGGAAGCCTGAGCATTTGTACCCACAGAAGACCGCTGAGGTTTTGATTTTTAACCACCACCAAAACAATTTTGGCCCCTCTGAGTCCCGGTCCATCTTAGCACTGCCCTGATGCTGCCCCTGTTCTCCTCACGCACAAGCACCTGCGGGAAGGTCCGCCTGCCAGGCTCCTCAGGACATACAGCTGGATCTGCCTCTTCCCCAGAGGTGGCCCGAGGGACCAAGAGCCCCTCTCCCCTAGTCAGCCCTGACTGGTAAGTAAGGGTTGGGAACCAAACCAGCAGCAAGGTTGGGACAGCTGCCCATGGGAGGAAGCAGGCAGCAGGGGCCTGTCTGGAGCTGGGGACCTCCACTGTCCCTGCCCTAGAGGCCCGGGGCCCAAGCCCCAGCCAGCCCAGTGATATAGAAGTGACCATTTTTCCTCCCTAATAAAATCTATGTTAAAACAGGAAATTCACACTAAATGCAGACACTTTTTGTTTCCCTTGGCTTTTTTTTCTGACCAGATTCCCCTACAGAGCTGCTGCTATCACCAGCTGGCAGGCTTGGCCTGGGGCGACCTCTTAGCCCACCCTGAGCACTCTGTGCTATGCGCCCCACCTTAGAACCCAGGAGGTTTCCTTCTTCTTCCCTCCATCCCTCAACAGCAAATAAAACTTGCATGGTCCCACTGCTGAATTCTTTATCTACCACTTAGACATTTCTGGTTGGGTGCTGAGTGGCTGGCCCTCCCCTTGCCCACCCTGCTGCCTCCTGTGACGTAGGACATCCTGAAGCCCGTGCCACACCCTCACCCTTGGAAGCTGTGGGGGAAGACGGCGATGAACAAAGTAAATTCAAGCCAGGTTTGGGCACCTGCTCCTCGTGCACCGGTCCAGTGGTAGAAGAAGTCCTTCAATGCGAGGGGCTTGTAGAGGGAGCCCTGCCTCCCACCAGCTGAGAGAGAGAGACGGCCTGAGGTTGCCTCCTGGGACTGTCGGTGTAATTCGGTAGGGACGGTGCTGGCCGGGCCACAGCTGGTCCAGGTCGGGGAGTGCCGAGGGCTGGAGAAGAGAGTAAACCTCATTTACTCTGAAGTCGCATATTGTTCACGCCAACATAACAGGCGGCTTCCACAATCCCAAGACAGTGCGGTAAAAAGCTGGAGAAGATGAAAGTGAGAGATGACGGGAAAGGTCCTCTTGGTCACCTCCTGTCCAAGCCAAAGGGCCTCAAGGAGCCTGGGAAAGGTGCTGTCTCAGAGCCCCGCCCTGTGCAGCACCATTCAGACTTGTAGGGAGATATCCCAGGAAGTCTGCAAACACAGGGCTGGTCAAACCATGAAGGAACCCGGCGAGGGCTGTGCCTCCCTACATAATGTCTTGACTAAGGTTAGGGTTACGTCCCAACCTACCATAAGTTGGAAATGTCAGGTCGAAAATACAGTGAATACACCTACATAGCCCCATAGCGGAGGCCACTGTTGCTTAAGCATGCTGCTTCTAAACTGTTCAGTACTCCGCACATTACGGGAGGTATGCAACAAACAGGCTTTATAGGACAGGGTTTGGCCTGGTACTCGGCACATTACGGGAGGTATGCAACAAACAGGCTTTACAGGACAGGGTTTGGCCCAGCATCAGGAGAGAGTATGCACAACATACCGCTAGCCCAGGAAAAGATCAAAATTCCCAGCACAGTTTCTACTGAATACTTCTGCACCATCACAAAATAGAAAAAATCGTACGTTGAACCATTGTCGTAAGTCAAGGACTGTCCATAACATCTCCTACTACCATCCTACTCAGGGTGGCCCAAGGACCAGCAGCATCTACACCACTGGAATGGGGGCTTGTTATAATAAAAATGTAGCATCTGACCCAGTGGTTCATGCCTATAATTCTAGCACTTTGAAAGGCAGAGATGGGGCTCGGCACCTGTGGCTCAAGCGGCTAAGGCACCAGCCACATACACCTAAGGTGGCAGGTTCGAATCCAGCCCGGGCCTGCCAAACAACAACGGCTGCAACCGAAAAATAGCCGGGCATTGTGGCAGGTACCTGTGGTCCCAGCTACTTGGGAGGCTGAGGCAGGAGACTCGCTTGAGCCCAGGAGTTGGAGGCTGCTGTGAGCTGTGATGCCATGGCACTCTACCCAGGGGGAAAGCTTGAGGCTCTGTCTCAAAAAAAAGAAAGAAAAAGAAAGGCAGAGATGGGAAGATCACTGAAGGCCAAGGATTTGAGACCAGCCTGGGCAACATAGTGAGGCCCTGTGTCAAAAAGAAAAAAAAGGAAAAAATGCAGAATCTACATCCTAATATCCATGGGTGATTTGTGTGTATATTAAAGATTAGGAGGCACAATTCCTCCATATAAGCTCAGGACATAAGATTGCATAAAAAGAGACACCACTCATCGCGTGCAGAGTTGGTCTAAATTAGAAAAGGTCCAAAGAAATAGTTGCTTTTAATACCAAAGAAAAGTACCAGTCTCTCACTATCAAGTAGTTTTGACATGTTTCCTTAGCTGCCTCACCGAATGTTTTTTTTGGATGCACAAGGCCAAAATATCTAAATTAGACCAAGCTATAGCTCCTGTAGGTAGGTCCCCAGCATAGAGCTGACTCATAGTGTATCAGCTCAGCCAGTGTCAGTTGAGGTCACTACTCAGGGTTCATATCCCTGGTTCTCAGGCCCATGAGTAGAGTTGGGGCCGAGGAGAGTCAGCTATGACAGTGCCAGAGCATGATTCTCCTCTACTGTAGCTGGGGCCATACAGCCCCGACCTTGGGGACATCATGGATGAGCACACCTCCAGATTCATACTGAAGTCACCTGAGGTGTATGTGTCTCACACTGGGTTCTGTGGGCTTCCAGATATTGAACAGAGATCCCTGGGAGCAGGTGGAAGGTACCTGGTAACACTTTCTCCCGAGGGACCGTCAACGGGCAGAGGGTCAAAAGAGAACTGACAAGTTGGGTTCTTGGCTGGAAGACAGGTACGAATAATATTAGGGGCTTCTTACCAGAACATCTGAACAGCTGGCAAGAAGCCAGAGACACGAACTGCAATAAGCAGATAAACCTTTGCATCCAGGATTTGACACGGGGGCAGAGCTGGGCAGGTGTCCATATTAACCAAGCCAGGATCCAGGGCAGCCCTGTGCTAGGCACTGAAATCACCCATTCACAGATGAGGAAACTGGGGCCCTGAAACATTACCTTCCCAACAATATGCGGTTATGAAGTGACAGAGACAAGATTCAAACTCAGTTCTGCCTGATTTCAAACTGCAGCCAGTTCAGCTCTGCCTCATCTCTAGCTTGCGTCAAAATAGAGAAACCAAAAAGGTGGAGGGCCAAAGTCAGGCTGAGCCATGTCCTCGGACGATGCTTCCTACAGGCTTCAGGTTTAATCAGGCCTTTTCCCCGCCCCACCCAGCTCCCATGGCCTGTTCCTATGCAGAAAGAAGGGATCGGGAGCCACGGGATCCATGGCATCGTCCTCTCTGATGTGAGCGTCCTGCATATCTGAGTCACACTTCTGAGTCCCTGGGTAGAACACTGTTTGGAAATCTTGCTTCTGTAACAGGTTTGCCCTTAAGGGGCTTTCGAGAGATCTAGAAAAATGCTTTTCAACCTTTTTATCATTTCATGGCACATTTGAACTATAGTTAAATTTTCAGAGCACAAATTATATTGATCAAAAAAAAAAAAA